AACTATCAGAAATGTTAAACTTGGCAGTTTCAACTTCAGGAACTTTATTAAGGATACATCTTTATTTCCGATAATCTTAGCCAATTTAGGTGTCTGAGGCCTCTAAAGCTTCATTTTCTTTCCATCCTTCTCTTGTCTATCCAATATATCCATTAAGATCTAAATTTTTCCTTTTACACGAAGGTAAGTAACTTTGTGACAACTCTATTATGTTGTTATAATAGTGAACTAGTGAATCTATTACACATCTTAGGGGTATGAAACCCCTGTTGCAGTACAATAGCCCTTTTTATTGGCCTTTCTATTACTTTTGTCGCTTTACTTTACTAGGAGACGATTGATTTTCAGTGGCAACACTTGTGTCTTTGAACCTCTAGCGAAATTTTATTATTGGATAATTGGTTCTAGCCAAACCGGAAAAAGATAAAAGGTGACATATTCAGTTATCTGGCCCTAATCGCCATGCATGTAAGGAGGAATAAGAAGAAAAACAAGACACATCCTATTACGTCCTCGCAGAATCACGATTACGGGAATGGCCGACTACATAACCATAACTGATTTTCTACTACTGACGTGTGCTCCATTAGTCACGGAATAACCCGACTCTGATACCAACTTTGTCACGACCCAATTTAGGATCATGACCGGCACCTAGGAGCAAGTGCTTCCAAGTAAGCCTCATCAATATTTTATAAAAAATCGAACAGAGTTTCCCCTATTTTAGGACTATCCAAAAATAAATCTGTCTTAGAAATTAACAACACAACCAACCAATATCCACCAAAACAAGTTATAATCCTCATCAACGAAGTACTCCCTACACAATAATACTAACTTCATCTTCAAAAATATGATATGAAAGTCTAATACAAGTCACAAATCTATATCTATAAAAAATACTCATGATACTCATAAAAATGACTATGGAGCGACTCTAAGAGTTTCAAAAGGAGAGAACATAATAAATAAATAAATAAATAAATAAACTCTTCGCCCACGCGAACAAATGCGGGGCTCACCAGGAACTATCGACCTGCGCGCTCTAATTAACGAAATTCTCGCCCACGTCAACTGCTGTCTCTGTTAAAAAAAAAATTAGCGGGGAATGAGTCGCTAGCTCAGTGAGTAATAACACTTAACCACAACCATTTTTATTTGGGGACAAGTCAGAAAACATGCTAGTATCTCAAACAGAAAATAACATAAAAATGTCCTTTCAGAAACAATAAATAATTTTCAGTCTCATCATGTTCTTCTTGTAGTATAATACAATTAATAATTTAGTAATAAGCTCGGTAATCACTGTATAATATCAATATTCATATTTGGGAGGTTTTAATGAACGGATGATGTAATCAGTATAACTATGGACTTCTTCGTAAGAAGTCAAATATAACGGTAATCCCTACTCGAGTATAATCGGTAACGGTATACTAGTTCTACCTTCCCACTAGCGAGGGCTATAACAGTAATCGGTAATTACAAGGTGCACCAGGTCTAATGAACCCCGCCGTTAGCTACGAGATCCTTCAAAGTTTACTTCCATTTATACTTGTCTCTGTAATCCGTATATACTCATAGGAAAATATTTTGAAACAATATAGGGAATTTCGGTTCTTATCAAATCATGAAATTTCATTTCGATAACAGTAAATTCAAGTAACGACAAAACATATCTAGTGCCAACAAGATTATTTATAACAATGGTAATCATGTCAAATAGTTATTTCGGTATCATATCGAGTAAAAGACTTGTCCTAAATGCAACTTAAAATAATCGGTAACATATTCATATTAAAAATCATGTGTAAATCATGCAAGTTATGAAATCACAAATTGCGGTAAGATTACTACTCACAGTACTCATGCCGAAATACCAAACTCGTCACCTTTGAACGATATTGTACGACTTCTTTCAGTCAATCTATAGACATATCAACATCGATCTCATGTTAATTTCCTTGCTTAAGATAATTTATAGCTAATTTAGGACACTAAGCCCTCGAGTTTCATATTTGAAACTTAATTCGTCAAATTGTATTTACCCATGCTATGAGTAATTCAACTAGTTCATAATTTAGCTTACCCATATTATATAAAAGTCAAATTCATGATCATGGGTAAGAGAATTACCTTTCAAAGCTTGGTTTCTATCTATTTGTTTCCCTTACATGAGACATTACTGAAGAAGAGCCAAGAATTTCCTTCTTTTATTTGATCTTTATAACCTTGATGCCAAAAACAAATTCTCAATCCCCCTTCTAATCACGTTCCCTTTAATTGCAAAAAGAAGGTTTGTGAAAGCTTCCTGGAATAAATAATATTCATAGCTTCTGCCAAAATTCTTTGATTTTTCTCTTCCTTCTTCTTATTCTTTGTTCCTTTCTAATTTCTTTTCTTCTTCCTCTGTATGTATTCGCCTTGTGTTCTCCTTGTGCTCCTTCACTCGAAAGAGAGGCGCAAGCCTCACGTTTTTGTTCTAAAAAAATGGCAGCTCAAATCTTTTCCCCAAATCTCTTTAGCTTATTTTTCTTCTTCTTTTTCGTGATGCCAATTTAGGTTTCTGATGGGCTAAGGCCCATTTGTATTTTTTTTATTTGTTGCTTTTATTGATAATTATTTAAATACCCTTACTTTAATAAGGGGTATTACATCCCCATAATACCATAACCATAAACTTGGCTATGTTACTACTCTGGTTGGCTAATGGAGTTGAGGGAAGGTAGTTTCTTTGCTGAATATAAGGAGAGCCTTAGTGTACGCCCATTTCTTATTTGTTTAGGTTCTCGAAATTCTCAAAGACTCAATTGTAGTTAATTCTCTTGTCATTACTGTTTACCCAAAAAACTAGTAACAATTACTGTATGTGGTTTAAAGGATAGCCCGAACGTCGGTGCATATTCGATGCCAGTTCCCGCCTTACATAGCAACTCTAGCTCCAAAATCTGCACGCAAGGTGCAGAAGTGTAGTATGAGTACAACCGACCCACGTACACAGTAAGTATCTTGTCTAACCTCGGTGAAGTAGTGACGAGGCTTTTTAATTAAAAGTTACTCACAGATATAACATGTGCAGTAGACTAGCAATAGAACAATACTAGATCCATTGCGATTGGTTTGATCATTTATATGGTAGGTTTAGATTTTATTAATCTGTTTATGTAGACTTCGGACATATGATGTATTTATTTCGTGACAACTTTTATAAATTATATGTCTTAGAAGCTCATGACTTGTACTACCAGTCCTTGGAATATTGTATGGAATCCAGATATATCATTTGTTGATCGCTTTTATTTAATTAGAATAGTGTTTACTGTTAATTGGCTGACCTAGCAGGTTGGGTTAGGTGTCATTACGACGTGTATTTGCCTTATGCAATGCAAGAAATGCAGATGAAGGTAGAGCTTAACCTCGGAAGGCAGAATGGTAGCCTTATGCAATGCAAGAAATGCAGGTGGAGACAGGGCTTAGTCTCGAAAGGCAGAATGGTAGCCTTATGCAATGCAAGAAGATGCAGATGGAGGTAGAGCTTAACCTCGGAAGGCAGAATGCTAGCCTTATGCGATGCAAGAAATGCAGATGGAGGTATAACTTAACCTTGGAAGGCAAATGGTAGCCTTATGCAATGCAAAAAAATGCAGATGGAGGTAGAGCTTAACCTCGGAAGGCAGAATGCTAGCCTTATGCAATGCAAGAAATGCAAAAGGCGAATAATAATAAAATCTCTTAGCTGATAGCTGATAACTAATATTGTGGCTGCTGGGGATATCGTGTACGGATAGCAATCGTAGATAGGTGATGGTTCTGAGAGTTGTATTCCCGAGGAGTGTGAGTGTATAAATATATCCAATGATTTTGTGACTCGTGTGCCTGCACTCAAAGAAAAATCGTGAGTTTTGTAAATAGGGAAGGTTAGTTCGTATCCCCGTGGACTTTGCTTGACCTTCTCGGCTTTGATCTGGTGATACTGGGCGTATCATTAGGGTAGCATTGCTAAACAGAGCAATTTTTGGCACAAACATGCATGAGTTTGTAAAAAGATATGAAGTAAGTATAAGAAATAGTTTTTGGATGAACCGACGACTATGACGTGGTTCAGGACATTGCAACCTCTCTCATTTCGGAATTTTGAGGGTCCTCCTCAAAATTCTGCCCCAGTTTCCAATTGCGGAGGGAAATGAAAATTTTATTGAATTGTGATCGAACCCATAAGGCTGCCTACGTATCCCCTCTTAAACGGGAATCAGGTCAGACGTAGTTCAAATTACATCATATAGGAAAAGCATGAAGATTACACATAGTATCGTTTGACTGCATCTGAATTGATTGGCTTTGGCCAAACTTCTTCGTCCATTTCTGCAAGTATGAGAGCTCCTCCTGTCAGAACCCGATGAACCATGTATGGACCCTGCCAATTGGGAGAGAATTTCCCTTTGGCTTCATCTTTATGCGGGAAAATTTTCTTTAACACCAGCTGCCCCGATGTGAATCGTCTTGGTTTGACTCTCTTGTTGAAGGCTTTGGACATTCTATTCTGATAAAGCTGACCGTGGCAAACTGCATTCATTCTCTTTCCATCTATAAGAGCTAGCTGCTCGTAGCGACTTTTCACCCACTCTGCATCGTCGAGTTCTGCTTCCTGTATGATCCTTAAGAAGGAAATTTCTACCTCGGCGGGAATGACTGCCTCTGTACCGTAAACCAGCATATAAGGGGTTGCCCCGATTGATGTGCGAACTGTGGTGCGGTACCCAAATAAAGCAAATGCTAACTTCTCATGCCATTGTTTGTGCTTCTCTATCATTTTCCTTGGTATCTTCTTGATGTTTTTGTTGGCGGCTTCTACGGCTCCGTTCATTTGAGGCCTGTAAGCTGTGGAATTCTTGTGTTTGATTTTGAAGGTTTCACACATGGCTTTCATCAGGTCACTGTTGAGGTTGGAGCCATTGTCAGTAATGATTGATTCTTGAATCCCGAATCGACAAATGATACAGTCACGGACGAAGTTTGCCACGACTTGGCCACATTATACCCTTCTTAGCCTTGGCCTTCAAATTAGAACAAAAGGGTTACAACATAATCCTTGTGAACACACCTCTCAACATCAAGAAACTCAAGTCATCTCTCACTCCAAATACCTCAATTTCCCTTGTTGAGATCCCTTTCAATAGCTCTGAACATGGCTTACCTCCAAACACTGAAAATACGGATTCACTTCCTTATAAACCCTACGTACATCTCATCACAATCTCCTCTTCTCTTGAGCCCTCATTCAGAAAGCTACTCTTTGATCTTGTTAAGGGTCATGATAATGATCAAAAGCCACTTTGTATAATATCAGACATGTTTTTTGGATGGTCAGCCAATGTAGCTCATGAATTTGGACTATTCCATGTCATTTTCAGTGGGGCTTCTGGTTTTGGCTTGGCATGTTACTACTATTTGTGGCTTAATCTGCCTCATAAAAAAACAAGAAACTTTGCTTTTACTATGCCGGACTTTCCAGAAGCTGGAAATCTTGATGTTAGTCAATTGAGCCAAAGTCTTTTAGCAGCTGATTCTACTGATCCTTACACTAATTTCAACAGGGAAAACTTTCTCAACTTTCTCAACTCTGATGGGATTCTTTTCAATACTGTCGAAGAGCTAGACAGGCTTGGATTAACATATTTTCGTCGTAAATTAAGCCTACCAGTTTGGGCAATTGGACCAATACTTTGGCCAGTGACAGTGAGTGATAAAGGTAAAGATGCCCCAGAGAAATGCATCAAATGGCTTGACCAAAAAGAAGCAAAGTCAGTGCTTTACATTTCTTTTGGCTCCCAAAGCACAATTTCAGAATCACAGATGATGGAACTGGCAAAAGCCTTAGTTGATGCTAGTGGAATAAACTTTATATGGGTTGTTAGACCTCCTTTGGGTTTTGACATAAACATGGAGTTTAGAGCAGAAGAATGGCTCCCAGAGAGATTTCTTCAGTGCATTTCGGAGGATCAAAACAAGGGAATCCTAGTGTCAAAATGGGCTCCTCAGGTTGAAATCTTGGCCCACAAATCAGTTGGAGCATTCTTGACTCATTGCGGATGGAATTCAGTGCTCGAATCACTTGGCAATGGAGTTCCGCTTCTTGGTTGGCCTATTTCAGGAGAGCAATTCTATAATGCAAACATCTTAGAGCAAGATCTTGGTGTTTGTGTTGAGGTGACAAGAGGGGGTAATTCTGAGGTTAAGTATGAGGATGTATTGGAAAAGATTGAATTGATTATGGGGGAAAATGACAAAGGAAAAGAAATTAGAAGGCAAGCTTGTGAGATTAAAGAAATCATAGGAAACGCTACTATAGATGATGAAGAAGCAGATTTCCGAGGGTCTTCTGTAAAAGCAATGGAAGAGTTTCTTAATGCAGCTTTCTCCACTAAGTAGATGCCTTAGTCTTGCACGCGATACCTGAAAAACCTCTTGTGACATTGTATTTGCATACGACGTGATCATGTTATTGTATCCTAAGGAAGCAAGTCAAAAGAATTACTGATGGATCAGTGAAGATTTTGCTGTAGTAGGCTCGAATATCCTTAAAAAGAGCGATATATCAGCATCTCGGCCTAATTTATTTTTCAACTGTAATTATATTTTCATCAATAATTTTAAAGAGATTCAAATGGCTACGGCTGAAAAATCTGTGGATATCAAGATGGGAGATCTCAACAAGTCATTATGTTTCAATGATACTCATTTCAAGAGATAAGAGGGTAAAATACTTTTTTATTTAAGTCTTCTCAATGTTTCTTCCGTTTTAACCTAGAAGAATCCAAACAAAGTGCCATGAATGATGATAAAATTACCCTTCAAGAAAAACTCAAAAAATACAACAATGATTCACACAAGTGTTAATATTATCTTTTCAATTGTCTATCTGATAATTTTTATGATAGATAGAACTTACTCTACTGCAAAGAAAATTTGAAAACGTTGAAGAGTAAGTATGATATCGAGGGGGGAGGTACCAAAAAAATGCTGCTAACAGATTTTTTTCATTTTTAAATGGTGGACAACAAATCAGTAGTAGGTCAGGCTCAAGATTTTATAATAATCGTTCGAGAGCTAAGGTCCGATGATATCAAAATTGGATACAGCCTTATTGTCTGTGGCATAATACACTACTAGAATTCCGGAAAAAAGCGACAAAACTTTAGCGACCAAAGTTGGTCTGTCAAGAAAAGCGACCAAAGTTGGTCTGTCAAGAAAAGCGACCAAAGTTGGTCGCCAAATTGGCGAAAATAATAAAATAATTATTTGATATAAATTAGCGACCAAGGTTGGTCGCTACTTGGTCGCTAATTTCGTCAAAATATTGATCGGACTAGTCAGACTTGCTTGGTCAAAGGTATACTGAGATTAGCGACCAACGTTGGTCGCTATAGGGGGACCCACTTATAAGATTATAATAATTATAATATTCTTTTAAAAAAAATTATAAAATATAATTTAAAATTAGCGACCAAAGTTGGTCGCTAATTAAGGGGTAAGAATATAGCGACCAACTTTGGTCGCTAAAATGGGACCCAGTTGTTAAATTTTAATAATTATATTTTTATTTAAAAAATATTATAAAATATAAAAAAATATAATTCAAATTTAGCGACCAAAGTTGGTCGCTTACAAAAATAGAGACCAACTTTGGTCGCTAATCTGGGACCCAGTTCTAACGTTTAACAATTATATTATTGTTTTAAATATTATATAAAATATAAATAAATCTGATTTAAATTTAGCGACCAACTTTGGTTGCTAATTTAAATTTATGTATATTTAGCGATCAAAGTTGGTCTCTTTCAGGCCAACAATGGTCAAAATTAAAAATCACTTTTGTATTTACTATCTAAATAATATAAATGTAACACGTTAACACTTTTGTAATACAAAGGATGAATAGACTAAAATATACTCTAACATGCTATATATGCAGTTAAGCAGTACAACGAAGCGTGCGTGTGTGTCTATATATATATATATATATATAAGAACATGAAGCGCTCGGAACACAGGGACGGGTTCTTTTAGGTATTGATACACTTGTAAATTGATTCATCGACTTATAACCTACTCATATGCATGTATATATATTAACAACAAATTAAAACGTCTCGACTTATATCAATTAATATATGTATATATATATATATAAGAGCTATATTCGATATAATATTAGCTAATGCACTAATACTTAGTGCATAGTATAGTATAGTATATATATACTAAGTGTATTATATATAGCATAGTGTATGATATATTAACGTATATTCGATATATATAGTATAATATAGTATATAGTATATAAGCTATATATATATAAGAACATGAAGCGCTCGAAAAATAGGGGAGGGTTCTTTTAGGTATTGATACACTTGTAATATATATATATATA